AATATAATTGGGATTTTCCATCATGCTTGATTGGATGGAAAGATGGAGAATCGGCGAGGATGAGATTTCCAGAAGATCTAAAGATCTTCTGTGAAAGACTAGATTTACAGATTATAGATATTCCGGGATGGTTTGAAGGTGTTAAGGGAGTGCAGAGTTAGAAAAAGATAAGTGGCAATTAGTCTCCAAACGGATATTGCGATAGAGTTTCTATGAGTAGTAGTAGTCTGAAGGAGGAAGATGACAGAGAATAATGTTAATGAGGGTCAATGGTAGCATGGGGAGTGGAGGAATGGAAAAAGGAAATCCTTTTTATTTTTGTTCCTCATTTTCTCTTCTCTCTCCATCGCCCTGTTTCTTTTTCTCTTTCCTCTTTTTTTTAAGGGCTTCCTCTCCTTTTTGGGTGGCCACAATGTGTTTGATAGAGGATATAGGTGATATATGTATAATGGCTGATATAGCAGGAGGATAGGGTAGGGAGAGGTTGAAGGGAGGAATTTTGAGGAAGATAGGTAGAGAGCCTTTTTAAAATGAATGGTGGGGCAAATGGAGGTTCAATAGGTGTATGTGTTCTGAGTCTCACCCTGAAAGAGGAATTGAGAGTGGGACCAAACCACAACTGATTCCAGGGCTGATTATGTTGATTCACCAATAAAATGGGGAAAAGGAGTAGGAATTGGGTTAGCAAAAAATGTAAGATTCACCAAGGAAGATAGATTGGTGGATCCAGAGGGTCGGTTTTTATTCCTGAGAGGGAAAGTACAGGGATTAGAATGTACATTAGCAAATATCTATTGACCTAATACGAATTCAATGGTATACCTTAAGGCTAGGTTCACACTAATGCGGTGCGGTACATCGCATGTGATTCGCACAGGAACCACACCGCATTCCTCTGCAAATCACATGCGATTTGTGTGTGGTGCGATTGGAGCCATACATTATGTATGGCTCCAATAGCACTGCACCCGCACCAAAAAGGTGCAGGGCCCTCTTTTGGATCTGCACTAGAATCGAATTACATGGGTATTCACACCTATGCGATCAGATTCTGCACATCGCACCATGTTTTGCGGACCGATTTCGGCGTGCTGTTAACATACACACCTATATCGGTTCACATGAACGGGGTGCAATTCTGATGTGGTGCGGAATTAGCACAGAAAACATTGCGAATTCCGCACCGCATCAGTGTGAAGCCAGCCTTAGGGTTTGCTAAGAAAACTTACAGACTTTAAGAGGGGTAAGCTGATTGTGGCAGGAGATTTTAATTTTTCCTTGGTGGATACATCATCGCGTGCGCAGAAGGAGAGAGGTAAAAGTCTAAACTGTTAAATAATCTTACATCAGTGTCAATTGATTGACTCCTGGAGAATTAAACATCCAAGAGAAAGAGATTATACCGTCTTCTTTTCTGCACAAGGGATGTATTCAAGACTATAATGATAGAACATAGACTCTTGGAGTCTTTGGTGAAATCCAACATCGAGGTAATTTTAGTATCAGACCATGCACCTGTAACAATGAGACTATGGTTGGGAGGGGAGCAGAATAGAATTAACATGTGGAAATTAAATGAGAAGCTTTTACAGGAACCAGAGATGGAATTAAGAGTAAAGAAGGAAATAGAGCAATATTTTATGCTCAAAGAGACTGAAGGGGTATCTGTTGCTACAGTTTGGGAAGCACATAAGGCATATATTAGGGGAATCCTGATCTCAATAGGGGCCAAAAAAAAGAAAGAACAGGGTAAAAAAAATAAAGTTATTAACTGAGGAATTATATGATTTAGAACAACTACATAAAAATAAAAATAAAAATAAAAACAGAGACACAACAGAAGATAACTCTAAAAAGAGAAGACTTAAAGGACTTAATGGAACAGGAGACAAGGAGAATCTTTAATAGGGTGGCAAAGGAAAGATATCAGTGAGGGAATAGACCAGGAAAATATTTATTGAGAAGGTTAAGGGGAAAGAAATTGAGGAACTATACAGAGAAAATTAAAGATGAGACAGGAGAAATGGTATTTTCAACCACTGATATCGCTAAAACATTTAAAAAATATTATAGTAGATTATATAAAGTAAAATCTAAGAATCCAAAAGAATCAGAGCGAAAAAAAGAAAAAAAGTCAGATATACTTAAAAGAGGCTAGATTACCTAGATTGGATGAAGAAAGATTAATAGCCTTAGAAAAAAGAGTAACAGATGGAAATATCCGGTATTAATCTTGTTGATAGATGCTGAAAAAGCTTTCAACAGGGTAGACTGGGGATTGACACATATGATTGACACATTGGAAGCATTAGGAATTGGATCCAAAATGGTACAGTGGATAAAAAAGCTATATAGTTATCCATCACTTACAACAAACCCACAAGAAAGAAAGGATACAGAACTTCAATGGCTAATGAACAGGATATATTTACTGGACGTAAAAAATGACAATGCACATCCCATACGTTCCCTCTCCCCATCCCCCACCGCCCGCCCAAAAACCTGCCCCCCCCCCCCCAAAAAAAAAAACCCTCCAGATGGCACAGCTCCACCCCATTTTTTACGTCCAATAAATATATGCTGTTCATTAGCCATTGAGGTACTGTATCCTTTCTTTCTTGTGGGTTTTTTTTTTAAGTTATTGCTTTTGGATGCACCTCCCCCCTGTTATATGTATGCAGGCGGTATAGCATGAGCTTGAGTACTACTCCCAGGACAGGCTGTTTAGCCATTGGGGATTTCTTTACATAGTTATCCATCAACAGCGGTGAAGGTTAATGGTTCATTGTCACAGTTCTTCAAAATGTATAACGGAACAAGGCAGGGATGTCCACTCTCTCCCCTGCTATTTATTATATCTCTGGAGCCGTTATTAGCGACTGTACGAAGGAGTGTAGATGAAAGGAAATTTTGATAGGAGATGTGGAACACAAGGTCACTGCATATGCAGATGATATGTTATTTTATATCGTAAACTCTAGATTAACATTACCCAACTTAATGAAAATATTAAAATACTATGGAGAGTTATCAAACCTGAAAATTAGTCCTTTAAAGTCAGAGATATTAAATATTAATGTTCCAAAGATAGAGAAGCAGACCTTACACAAAGCTTTTCCCTTCGTGGAGGGAAAAAATAATTAAGTTACTTAGGAATAAAGTTAACCCCTTCTTCAAAGAATTTATATCAGGTAAATTATATTCCATTAATAAACAAGATAAAGGATAAACTGAGAAAAATGTCAATAGGATTCCTTTCCTAGATTGGTTGTATAAATATGGTAAAAATGGTGATAGTACCAAAAATTCTGCATAAATTTCATATGCTCCCAATATATCTACCAGGGACATTTTTTTGAGACTATAAAAAAAATTATACTCAGATATATGGGTAAATAAAAAATCAAGAGTTAAATATGAGGTACTGTGTAATGATAAAGTAAATGGGGGTTAAATGTGCTGGATTTTATGAGATATTATTATTCTGTGATGATTTAACGAATAGCAGATTGAATATATAATTCACAGGGGAAAAGTTGGGTAAAAATGGAAAGTACACTAACTGAGTCACAATTAGATAGGATTATTTGGCTTCCACAACATTTTAGTACTTTTTCTGAAAATACGAGTACTTTAACACGGAATGTAATTAAGGTATGGGATATAATTCATAAGCAAATGGGGTGGGAGTATAATTCACTGTTAATACTGTTGGTGAGAACAGAATGTTTCCCACCGGGGAAAGATATTGCAGGAAAATGGAAATAAATATAGAAATGTACATTTAAGATATTAAATTATATTAAATATATCACTGAAAAAGGGGAATTATGTTCTTTTCAAGATTTAAAAAAATAAAAAGGAATTATTTTTTATATTAGATGAATGGCGTTATTATCAATTAAGACATTTTATTGCAGCACTCCCGCAGCAACTAAGAGCAAGGGAAGACATGTATCCATTTGAACAATTGTTTAGCTCAGATACAATCAGAAAACATGTTACCTCTTGCATTTATAAGACCCTTACAATAATATCTGGATCTGTTTTTCCACTGTCCTTGGAGAAGTGGGAAAAGGAGCTTGGAACAAAATTGAATGAGCGGGAAAAAAGAAAATATTTAAATTACCAAATGGAGCTGTGGATATGAATATAGTAAAAATGAATTATAAATGTTTACTAAGATGGTATATTACACCTAGTATGGTACATAAACAATGATCAGAGAGTTCACCTTTACATTGGAGGGGGTATGGGATGAAAGGAACAATAGCATGCGGAGCCACGTACACACGCTACTGCGCATGCATGACCGGCTGGCGACCATTTTGGAAATTGGAAAATTGGATTTTTTTTTTCCAGACAATGCCTAATGATGTTAGCTTTCATGTGACTGCAACCGTACTTTAAATAAATGTTGTTATAATGGTTTTACACTATGTGGAGCACTCTTTCTTTTTGCATGTTTCCTACTACAAGTTTGAGCCTTATCCTGAATGGTTCAGCTACCCTAAGTAAGATCCATTGTTTGAAAGATCTTTATCTGCTCTTTGGGTGATCTGGAGGAGGATTCGAGTGACCAGCTTTCTGGGTTGTTTAACAAAGCGCGATTGACCACTCTTAACAGGGGGTCATGCCTTTCTGGTAAGCCTTTTGAGTGGTTGGTGACACAACAATTGTCCTTGGATTTCCTTTGTTTCATCACAGCCTCCGGGACTTTTTCTTTATTTTTGGATGGACTATTTTTTGACACAGTTTTTCACAGTTTTTTTTTATAATTATTTGTCACTTTTTTTAAGCGCTGCACTCTTATGTATATAATAGCACATACAGTATATGCTGGGATTGCCCCAAAATACAGGAATTTTGGCAAGGAACAATACAACAAATACAGGAGATATTGGGGCTTGGTATATTGAAAGCCCCTTGGGTCTGTTTATTTCATAACTTACAGTGAAACAATAAAGGAATATGATGATATTTCACTTAATAAATGCAGCTAAAGCAGGCCTTGAAATTTCCACTCGCCTGCTCACCAATGGCGAGTGGAAATTATGGTGGGGGCGAGTGTGTCCCCCAGGGCCATCTTGCTGAGCAGGCTTGGAGCTCAGGCTGGATCTGTCATTGGCACTGGGAGCCGGCAGGCTGCTCAATAGCTAAGCGCAGTGAAAGCAAAGGAAGGAGTGTGTGCTGTGCTCTCTTCCTCCCCCTAGAGTGCAATACCCGGCTCTGTGAGTGAACAACTTTTTATAGTGGGGTGTGTTTGTGTGTGTACATGTGTGTGTGTGTATGTACATGTGTGTATCTGTACATGTGTCTGCGTCAGGGGCGGACTGACCATTTGGAAACTCGGGCACTGTCCGAGGGCCCAGGGTCAGTAGGGGGCCCCATGAGATGCCCCTGGTACCTTTTTCATAGGCTTTTTTGAGTTTGGGCAAGGACACAGGGGCCCCATGATCCCCTATTGCCCGTGGGCCCCATGTGTTGTCAGTCCGCCCCTGGTCTGCGTGTATGTACATGTATGTGTGTGTACATGTGTGTGTGTGTACATGTGTCTGTGTGTGTGTGCATGTACATGTGTGTGTGTGTTTGTGTGTAGGTATGTACATGTGTCTGTGTATGTATGTACATGTGTCTGTGTATGTATGTACATGTGTCTGTGCATTTATATATATAAACTTGCTGTGTCTGTGTGTGGGCTGGTAATTAAGTATCAGAGCCAGTAGCTTGTTTAGAATCCAGCTCATCAGTCTTATGGTGTCACCTTTAAAGTGAGGTGAGATCTCAGAGCAATACAACCCACCGTGTTTCTCACTAAACTGTTTTAATGAAATGTTAAATGACAAGCAATAGTTAATTTATAATAGATCCAATATTAAAGAATCTGTTATTTAAACTTTTAGTTCCTCACATGGGGAGGATCATAGACCTTCATTTTAACAAAAAAACATGGTTTGGTTAAAAATTAATAAAAAGCAATGGGCTCTGATGGTATTCATCTCAGAGTTCTAAGACAGGGGTGTCCAAACTATGGCCCTCCAGGTGTTGAAGAACTGAGGCCTTGCAAGACTCTGGCATCTACAGGCAAGGCACCCAGAGGCATGATGTGACTTGTAGTACTTCAACAGCTGGAGGGTCACCCCTGTTCTAAGCGAACTTCGAAGTATAGTTGTTGGACTATGAACTGATCTTTTTAATCAATCTCTTCTAACAGGAGAAGTTCCCCATGACTAGCGGACAAGTAACATTGTACTTATCCACAAGAAGGGCAGCAAGGTAGAAGCTGGCAATTCCAGGCCAGTGAGTTTAACATCAGTTGTAGTAAAGTTAATGGTATCACTCCTGAAAAGGAGGATCATTGATCACTTAAAAAACAGACAACTTCCTGGTTCCAAAGCAGCATGGCTTTACTGAGGGCAGATCATGTCAAACTAACCTGATTGGATTTTTTTTGACTATATTACCTATGTTTTGGACAGGGTGGTGCTGTGGGCATAGCATATCTTGATTTCAGCAAGGCATTTGATAAAGTTCCACATAATGATCTAATACAAAAGTTGTGCAAGCTAGGAGTTAGCCCTTGGGTTGTTCAGTGGATATGCAGCTGGCTAAAGGATAGATTCCAGAGTGTGGTTGTAAATGGAGTTCACTCAGAACAGAGACCAAATACTAGTGGTGTACCCTAAGGCTCTGTACTAGGTCCTGTTCTTTTTAATCTGCATGTAAGCAATATAACTAAAGATTTGTTGGGTAAAGTCTTTTTTGCTGATGACACAAAGGTATGAAATAGGGTTGATATCCCTGGAGGTGTATGTAACATGGAACATGATTTGGCATTGCTTGAATATTGGTCAAAAAAGTGGAAATTGCAGTTCAATGTTTCTAAATGTAAAATAATGCACCTAGAGAAAAAGAATCCCTTGAAAGAGTACAACATTGAGGGTATATTATTGGCCAGCGCAACAGAGGAAAAGGACTTGGGGGTACTTATTCCAGATGATTGCAAAATGAGCAGTGTGACCAGGCAGTTGGGAAAGCAAATAGAATTCTAGGATTCATCACTAGAGGGTTCACCAGCAGGAGGGAGGTCCTGATTCCCCTATACAGATCTTTAGTTAGACATCATTTAGAATACTGTAACCAGTTCTGGAGGCCTCATTTACAAAACAGATATTGATAGAATAGAACAAGTCCATAGACGGGTAACAAAAATGGTGAAAGGTCTAGGGGATAAAACATATCAAGAGCGACTTCAGGAACTTAACATGTACAGTCTGGAGGAAAGAAGGGAAAGGGGAGAGATGTTTCAAACCTTTAAATACATCAAGGGGGTAAATAAGGTTCAGGAGGGTAGTATTTTCAACATGAAACCAAAATCAAGAACATGGAGACATGACTTTAACCCCTTAGCGCGGATGTCACACAAATATGCGGCCTCACAGAACTGGGTTTTTTTCCAGGGTGTCACTGAGAGTCCCAGGTCCCGTTCTAACGATCGGGATGCAGGACTCCCGATTCTGAGTCGCATGATCGCTGTGATAGCCACTGATTGGCTATCACAGTGATCAGTCACTGTATAGCCCGCCCCCCATTGTATCTCTCTAACTCCTGACATAGAGAAAAAAAAATGATTGTTAAAAAAAAAGAAAAGATAAATAAATATTTAAAAACTAAAGAAAAAATAAAGAAAAAATACCTAGATCAAGGTTTGATCTAGTTCAGTTCCAGGGTAAGTGTTTGGGTCAAGGACAGGGTCAAAGGTCAAGTTCAAAATTTCAGGGTCAAAGGTCAGGATTTTTACCCTTTTTTTTAATTGGTATCAGTGTCAGTTAGTGTCAGTGTGTATTTTAGGTAAAAAAAAAAAAACCCTAAAAACAAAATGTGCACTATTGTTTCTGAGCTGTACTATGGGTACAAGCAACAAATAACATACACATATATGGTATTGCTGTGATCGTCAAGAACTGCAAAAAATTTTTTTCTTTGGTGGTAGGTTACGGTAGTAGCAAGAAACACACAGCTAAATTAAAATAAAAGATTTTTTTTTACTATTTTGGGGCAGTTTTCCTTCGATAATAAAAAAAATCAGGAGATATCCATTACCATTTACCACCAAATGAAAGCCAATTTTTTCCTGAAAAAAAACAAGGTATAATTCAGCTGGGTGTACAAAGTAGTTGTGCTGATATGTACGGTTTTACTAACACATGTCAACGTTGCAAAATTGTGCTTAGGCATTAAGATTTGTTTTACCTTTAGGCATGAAGGGGTTAAACTAACTGGAGGAACGTTCAAAACTAATCTCAGAAAGTACTATTTTACTGAAAGTGTAGTTGACGCTTGGAATAAACGTCCAGCAGCTGTAGTGAGCCAGTCAACAGTAAATAGCTTCAAACATGCTTGGGACAAGCATAAATCTATACTCAGGCAAAAAAGTAAAAAAAAAAAAACCAACACCCCCCCAAACAAAAACAAAAAACAGGCAGATTCAATGGACCACTCTTTCTTTTTCTGCAGTCACTTTTCTGTTTCTATGTAAAATCAGTAAGGTCCTACATTTTAGACCCAAAAAAATATACTTAAAAAAATAAAAACACTTGAAATCATTCCAATCCTATTTAGCATTTATGTTGCCAGTAATGATTATGGATACTTGTACACGTAACACAAGTACTTGTACACGTAACACAAATAAAACAAGGAATTTCAAACCTGAGTCATGGTTCTTGAAGTCTTCTCAGCTTCTGGAAATAAAGATTAATGAATTGGTAGCGGTTTTATCAAATATATATACTAAGATGATGTCATGAGCTTCAATTAAACTACAATTCACCTGATATCATATAATCTTTCCTAGTTTTCCAATACACAATAGGCAGCATGCAATATAATTAGAATAATATTTTTTGCAAGACAATATTGCCAGTAGACCATTTTCCAAAACAAAATAGGGAGCATGCAATATGATTGCATATACTTTTTGCAAGACATTATTGCCAAAAGATAATTTTTTAATTGCACATGTGGCAGCATGAACTGTTTGCTGCCCCAACACAGGTGGTTTAATAACTTTTGTTTTATTTGTATACATGGTAATTACTACACATGGGCAATAAGAGCAGTAATTGATGATGCTATGTAAATACTGCACTCAATTTCTTTTATTACATCAATTGTCTAATGAAAAGCTACACAATTATTTTGTTGATGAAATAGCTAATTGCATTTACAATAATAAAACAAAAACTTGGAATGTGTAACTGCACATGTTTCTGCAAGTAAAAAAAAAGCATTATCATTATTATTTTTTGTAAGGATCCTATAAAGCATTGCACCCACAATCAGCAGATCATGGGTGTAATTCCATGGTCCTGCAGATTGCCTGTGTATCTGTCTGTCCATACCTCCGATACGGGCAGGTAGTCTGGGGTGTATTTACCACAAGGCAAACAAGGCATTTGCCTAGGGCGGCATTTCTCAGGGGGGGCAGCACTGCCCCTCGGAAGAAGGGACACATGTGGTTGCGGGACCTGGTGGGTTCCGAGAGAGGCTGCGGGTTTCATAATGGTGTATGAACAGCCCAACTCTTGTTCCCGGGGATGTCCGGAGCTGTTAAGGTGAATATCTCTCTCTCGCCATGGGGGATGGTGGCTGGTGTATGGGCGGGCAGTGGTAGTGGAAGGCTCTCTTCGGTGGGAGGCAGGGGTGTTTTTGGTCAATGTCAGGCTCTGTCTTTGGGGGCGCCATTTTCTTTGTTGCCTAGAGCAGTACAAAACCTAAATACACCAATGCAGTCAGTTACTTTCTCAACAGCACTCTGGTAGTTTATTGAGAGCTACAAGCCGACAGCCTTAAAGGTTGATGGTACTTGTAGCTTTCACATTTACAGAATGATGTGGCCAAGCCACTATTTTTTTAGATTGTGACAGCGAGCAGGGGAGAAGATCCCCCTCTCGCTGTCAAAACGGGGGCTCGGGGGGGAGCAGAGGTTGGTGCATCTGTAATATGTTACATGTTACACCCTGAATATGGGTGTAACATGTCACATGTTATAAAAGGTGAACTTATGCTTTAATCTTATGTAGGAAATTGGTGAATCATGGGAGAAAGTTCTGTGAATCTTCAGTGAAAATATTAATAAATAAAACATTCATAAATAGATTCCTAAGGGTGGTCAGCTCTTTGAAGTTCCACTTTTCTTCCTCCTCCCCCCTCCTCTGCCATATTTGGAATATACAGTAACATACAGCAATGGACGTTCGCTCCCCCTCCCACATTACAGGTCCCAGGAAGCTGCAGGTCCATTCACAAGGCCCAGCGTCATTTGCGCACAAGCAGTGTGGAGCCAGCTGTGACACCACATGGTGTCACAGCCGGCTTCCCACAATTAACATGCCGACTCCGGTAATCCAAAGTCCAGTGAAGAACCAGCCTGGGTGAGGATGGCACTGGATACCTAGACAGGTGATTATATGTTTATTAACAGTCAGCAGCTATAGTTTTCGTAGTTGCTGACTTTTAATTTTTGGAAACCTGGCTGAACCTCCTCTTTAAGAACTTTGTTAAAGTGTCTTTGTGTTGCAGTAAAACAGGAATGATCATGTGACTGGAAATTCTTATATTGTTCAGTGTTTTCACCCCACCAACATGCACCATTCCTTTGCTAGTTATACATTTATTT